TGTAGATCCGTTTCTTATCTTTCTGGTTGACCGATTTCACTCGGTTCCAGTCCCTGTGTGCATTTCACTCTAGGAGCTATTTCTCAAGGGCCTAGAAGCACGCACACTGCCGCCTCACCAAGCAGAGTGCCTAAGCCCTGATTGCAATGCTTGCAGATATCAGGCCTTCCCTTCACAGGTCCTCTACCTTGATTAAACCCATGTTATCTTAGCAAACTGTGGACGCCTATCTCTGGTCGCATGCGGTATCATGTGGACCACACCAGAGGCCACAACATCTTGGTCTTCATATATTCAATCTCATGGTTTGTTTGTCTATGTTATGCTTCTCCTACATGTTTGCAGATAAGTCGCTGTGGATTACGCGTAAAGTGGATACGGTTGTGCATGCTAACCTAGATCAAAGCTTCTTCTCATATATAATAATAGATATTCTCGAAATATGGTTTCAAGCTCCAAGTAGTTAGGCATGAGTTGGAATTTTAGAACATTGATATTTATTAAAAATTAGTGTAGCATGGATTGGTTTATATAAAAAAAAACAGTCGTAAGAATAGGATGGGCAAATACTAGGCATGTTTAACCCGGGATTGTAGAGAAAAAGTAATTAAATAGAAGATATCTTAATAAGTATCTAGATGCGATAGGTATAGCTTAACACATATATTGTGACATTCATACAGCTTATAATTCAAATATCGGCAACACTATCTAGTTTCCACATAAACTCGGAGCCTGTGTAAGTAAAGAACTAGAATAATATATTTTGGGCCTCGGTACAAGATTGAGAAAAATGGAGTAGATCAAATAAGATTAGAAATATTTAAACGTCAAATTTTCGTATATATTTTGGGGGATTTTCTAAAAAATTACTATACCGATGGTACAGCATTTGAGGGCGTCTGGGTCGATAAGATGTGCCTCGGTATTAAAAATGTAACCACCGCGGCCAGTTGAGCATTCAGTGCCTGCCGGAGATGACCAGGTGGAAGCAGAGTCAAAATTGGAGACTTCAGATTCAAGAGATAATTCGGACTCGATCGAAGGAGGGAGTGAATAGGCGGTGGAAGCAGTAGCTTGGGAAAATGAATAGTGTACGAAATTTTCATCGTCGAATAGAAGGTAGAGATATTTTGTCGTCTCAGCAAGAAAGAAAGATTCCATCCGATTTTCCAAGGAGTGAGTCTGAACATCAGCAATCTAGCAGTTTAATAATAAGGATTAATATTCGATAGGCTTATGTGTATTTTTGTTCAATGTTTCCCAAGTGTAGATCTCACGATGCCATTTTATTTCACATTGTCTTGCTAAATTAATACAATGAG